TGTAGAGGGTGAAACATACAACTGAGCTCCTGAGAGCGTCAGTAGAAGGCAACTGGACTTGTCTTTATTGATTAGTGACGATGTTTCATCTTTCATCCAATTGTCTTGTACTACCACTCTGTGGTTTTCTCTGACTTGGATGATTGAGAATCTACACAGACATGCGTACGGGTGAAATTTTGAACAACAGTATGAAATGGCTGATTTACTAGAAAGTTGACTATATAGTGAGTGAGTGGATGTTCAGAGAAGGGCTCTGTTTTGGCCTGGTTTTCATCAGTTGTTTTAAACATTGCCATGCTTGCATACAGTAGTTGGTGTGTTCCATCTCATAAACTCTTGACATGTCAAGTGTATATATCACTACAGCCACATGTGCACCACTTCAACATGTGATGAAATCCAGACCTTAAAAGGCAGACTTGTTGTTAAGTCATTTGACAATACCTGTTGAGTCAAAGGGTTCAGTGAATGGTTAACAGAACATTTCAAGTCATGTGGTATGTTTTTATGTCAGTTATTTGTACATTCCCCTTATATGAGGTCAGAATATCAAACAGAGGCATCTCAGCTGAAACTACTTGTTTGTCATTGTCTTCATCCCGCCTTCCCTGACTTTGGCCACAAGGTCATGTACGTCCACAGTGTGTATTTATGTGTGTGTGTGTGAACAACCCATCTCTCACTGTGTCCCATGTTGTCAGCCTGACTGTGCCCACTAGTACGGCGCCAGTGGGCTCAAACCCATTTGAAGAAGACGAGGAAGAAGAGGAGGAGCAGGAGGCCGTGGAGCAGCAGACCACAGTCAACCACATCAGTGTGAATAAAGAGGAAATAAAAACGTTGGTGAACAGGAGCAGACGCTCCGCCCACCCGCAGCATCCTCGCCTTTTCTGTTTCTATCTTTGCTCCGTGGATCGCCGTTCGTGCCGCGTCTCCTGCCAGTTCTGTGTCTTGGTTACTTCTTCCCCTTCTCTTTCTTCGTGTTCCTCTGTTCTCCCTCAGGTGGCAGGTTGCTGTGTTGCTCTGCATGGTCACTGAATGGCATTGCACACAAAGCCAGAGTGTGTCTGTCCGTTACTTCTAACAGTTTCATGTCTTGCAGAAATGTCATGCGCATGGAGGCGCATGTCTCTGCTGTGGGAAATCAAATATGTTTGTCTTACAGTCAGATCTGAATATTTGGATGTTTATGCACATGTTCATAGTTTGATCATTTATTTCAGTTTTTTTTTTTTAAACCATTGACCAAATGGTTTGTGTATATAGAAACAAAAATCCAAAAATGAACAACAAAAATACAAATATGTGAATTCAGCCTTTGAAAAAACATTTTAACTGCTTTTTTTTGTTCTCTGTGTGTAAATGAACTCCAATATTCATTAAATGTCTGAGGGATAAGAACAGTAAGCCAAAAGTAAATGTGCAACTGTGAACCGGTCTGACTGTAAATCATTTGTGTGTGTGTGTGCTGATGTGTCTACCATTTTTCAGCTTTGTCTGTCAGTGTAAGTCCTCTCTGGTGTTTAGGTGGCTCCCTCTGCTGGCCGTTCAAGTTAAAACTCCAATCATGCATACGCAGTGATGATTTGTCTTGCTTGGTCCTATGTTGCTATTTTTCATAAGCCTTTTAATATGTTGTCATGTTTTTTGCCTTGCCTTTCCTCAGCAGTGTGTGCACTTTCACTAGAAGCTCTTGATCTCTCTTGAAAGTGGCAGCAAAGCAATTTTTAAATCATTTATCATGCCTGAACCAAAAGCTTGCCTTGTAGCATTAATGCCGTAAGTCAGCATGTTTTCCACTTGTTTGGACTGAACCAAAAGGAGAATGTTTGCAGGATGAGTCACAAAGTTATTTCTGGATTTAAAGATGCATTGTAGGCTTTTGTGTGTTCTCACTGTACTTGTTGCATTTTTTTTTTTCCCTCGCTTTTCTAACTTTGAACTTTTATGCCTGGCATGTTGGGTTTTCTCGTTGATGTGTAAAGCCCTGAGTTTTCACTAAGCGGATGTTTTGTCTGTCTGTCCAGCGCGAGCAGTATGGAGAAGACTCCAGACTGGTCAGATGAAGACACAGGAGGTAACCCTTTCTCTGCCAACGGTGACGGTAACCCATTTGAAGACGAGCCAACCTCTCCGGTTATATCTGTGCCCGTCAAAGCCCTCTATGACTATGAAGGACAAGAGCAGGATGAGCTGAGCTTCAAAGCAGGTATGTGACAGGACTGGTGACTGAGGCAGCTACTCTGTCGGATCGCTTGGTTTGTGGAATGAGAACGTTAATCCCTTTTATCGCTTTCCCAGGTGATGAATTTACCAAAATTGGTGAAGAAGACGACCAGGGTTGGTGCAAAGGCCGGCTCAAGGATGGACAAATGGGCCTTTATCCTGCTAACTATGTGGAAGACATCCAGTAATGAATCATCACTGATGAAATAAATGTGAAGAAAGAAGAAGAAGATAGTGTTTTCTGAGACTTAACAGTGCAGATGGAAACGTGAGGCTCAAACCTATTTTCACCTCTTTTCTCCCTGTTGCTGAAGACTGGATTGGAGTAGGAGAACACAGAGAAGAGAGGTTGCAGATGACAAAAAGGACCACTTAAGATATTGTCGCTTCCCACAGATTGACCCTTTCGCAAAAGTGGAAATTACCCACAAGTTTCCAGATGATTCCAGGAAGATCAGAGAGAACCGTTGCTGTCAGTGTATATGTTATATGTTACTTAAAAATCCCATTTATGCTGTTACAGAAATAGCTTTTCAAGTATATATTAGACAAGACTCAATGAAATGTATGTGTGAATTTATATATCGTTTAAACAAAACACTGGGATGACAGTCTGACAAATCGTCTTGCATTGTTACATGCAGCCTTAATATGCAAGCCACTTTTAATTAAGGGAGATGGATCTTTTACTGCTATAATAAACCGTTTCTTTCGATGGAATCTAGTCCATAAATGTTTAATAAATGTCAGATTTGTCTTTATGAAATAGGACCTTATGTTGAGACTATTTTGTCAGAACTTGATTTTAAACTAGTGCTTACATTATTCTGTTGTTCCTTCCAGGGTTTGGATTTTTCATTCAGTCTGTAACTCTTGTGGTTATTTTGTAAGGAATGATAAAGATCAGTTGGGCCTTTTCCTTTTATCTTCTTCATTTAGGTTTCCTGTAGTCCCTGCAGTTGAATGTATATTCACTGATTGTATTTTCTCACTCATTGATTGTTCACATTTGCTGATGTTACAACCACTGACCTGCCCCCCTCCTAAAAAAACTGTCCTTTCACACAAATCTCTACTTTCTGTCGATGATAGATTGTAAAACTTTATGGTTTGTTTTTCATGCAACACTGAAAGTTTATCTCACTTGAATTGTCATGTTTTAGTTCTCACTTCTTGACAAATGTCATTTAATGGGAGGATAATTTAGTGCTTTGAAAATATATTACAAGTTATAGCAATAAAACCACAGACAAGTATGGTATTGCGTACATGCATGTAAATAGCCCGGATTTAACATATTAGAACAAATGAAGCATTACGATCAGATGATATGCAGTTAGAAATTGATGATTGTTAATTTATGATGCCACAAGTGCTTTTGTTCTACTCTTGTTAGAATGCTGTGATTGAGAATCAGTTTGTACATTGATTGAATGTTTTATGACAAATATCCCTTGAATCTGTTATTTTGTTATAATTGTAAATATGTTTTTTCCCCTTCAGAGGGCCATATACATTTAATTAATCAACAGATACCATGTGAATAATTGTTAATTTTCTCGTAGGAGCTATGACATAAATGGATCTAACTTTTTTTCATAGCTTAAATACACATTTTGATCATTAAATATTTTATCAGATTGTGTTTTTGCGGAGATGAACTGCAGACTTCACAAGCTCTAAATTCATAAATGCCTGATGTATGAGTTAAATTGAAAAAAAAAAAAGATATTTGATGCCTTCAACTGCAGCAGGAGAGGAAGATGACTTTTTTGTCTCTTAACAGTGAGAAAAGTTTTTTTTTTTTTGCCATGTTTTCAGGGCGTGCTGCTGTCAAAACGCAGCAACAACTGTACTTGCACAGTAAGGTTTGTAAATGTTGTCCCACAACATAATAAATGAACTTATTGGAAAAAAACAATTACTGTCTTGACTACAGATAATTCTTGAGATTAGTTACACTTCTCACTTATGATGTACAGACACTAAAAAAGACTGCTTGAAAAACAGCTGTATTGGTTTAAAGGAGTCTTGATGAATTAAATGTCAGAGAGGTATGGAGCCAACAGAAACATAATTATTATTTTCAGGTTTTTATACACTAATTAAAATGTGATTATAAATATTGGATTCAATTTTCTCCCAACAAACCACCTTTAAATCCTACAAACAGGACCTTTAAATATAAGTGTTGCCGCACTGACACATTGATGCATTAGCCATTAGCCCAGAATCAAGTTCATATGCCTCTTCATCACATTTTTGGAGGGAGAATTGCTTTTCTTTTTTTCTTTTTCTTTCTTTTTTTAAAAAAGTTATTTATTTGATGCAGACGAATATTTAAAAAAAATTAAAATCCAATTAAGATTATAAAGTATGATGGTCATTGTTTCTTTTTGTTTCGGTAACAATAAGCACACAATCAAAGCTGGTGAAAAGCTGACTAAAATTAGTCCATACACTGACTTAAGGCACATGTAATTCTATATTAAGGCATGCTTTGTGACATATTTCATTAAACTTGCATAGGTTAAGCTGTCTACAGTAGTTACAATAATATAACACAACATAATGCAGTACAATATAATTACATGACCTCCCTTCACATAAACAATACGTCTTCCCTCACGATTTATTCTCAGTTGGAGCGGCAAGTATTGCCAAAAACTACATTACCCAGAAGCCTTTGCTACAATAACATAACCACGGGGCATTTGCAGCCAATCAGAATCCAACCATGATGTTCGGCCACTGACGTGTCGCAGTCAGTTATTATTGAGACAAAACACGGGGCTGTTTTTGATGCTATTCCTCTAACCACTGAGCACTGGGCAGGTATTATTACCAACAGGTGAAACAATGGCAGAACCCAGCAAGCAGGATATTTCTGCTATTTTTAAGCGGCTCCGCTCGGTTCCTACGAACAAGGTGAGTTTAATAAACGGCAGACGTTGGACTGTCTTTAACAAGGAAGTCGGCTGAACTAAATATCTGACACGTCGCACTTTGTGGAACGACTAGGCTGGCTTCAACTTAACAGCTTCATTTAACAATTTTCCGAAATGTGTCATGTGGAAAACAAGTCGGGCCTGTTTGAAGCGGGTTTTGAAACTCGTAGATTGTGCCCTGGCGACATTTGAATGAGAATGAACTGTAAGAAAACTTAGAAACTGTAAGCAGACGTTAGGTTAGCCATGAGGCAGATAGCTAGCTAGCTGCAGTTTGACAGTTTACATTAGCTGTTTGTTTAGGCTTAATGTTAGGGCCGATGGTCCACTCAAAATAGTGTTAGACAGCAGTGCAGACAGCCTTAATGATAAAGAAGTGTTTACAGCTTGCTGCTGTGCTAGTATCAGTTCATTTCATTGCGAAATTCAAACCACTTCATCAACAGCTGTTTGAATCAGCAGCAGCGCCGCCACAGCTAATTGTCCTGCACTTCACACCCTCACAGCTGTTGTTGTACACTGACAAACACGCTTCACTCTGTTGGCTTCCACGTCTATTATATTGATTTTGGATGTGTGGTTTTGAAATAGGAGGCAGCTGGAACACCATTCATTAAAATGTTAATTGCTTTGTCCGTTTACATTTTGAGAAAATAGTTTATTCTTGCGTGTCTTCTTTGCTCTCTGTCCATTAGGTTTGCTTTGACTGTGCAGCTAAAAACCCCAGCTGGGCCAGCATCACCTATGGAGTATTTCTCTGTATAGATTGTTCTGGGACTCACAGGTCTCTGGGAGTCCACCTGTCTTTCATCAGGTAAGTCGCAACTTATTTATTGTATGTTTCACAAGAAAAGGCATTTAGCAGGAAATGTCACACAGTGATACTACAAACCTAAAAGCAACTAAATGTAATTTCACAAAAAAAAAAAAAAACATTACATTAACATAAGGAAACTAAATAAAAAAAACTTGAAAGGTGTTTTTTTAACCCAATAGGAGGATCTAATGGTGACACAGATTAGCCAACAAAGGGAGAATATAATAGACTCACATCAGTTTTACAAACTTTAAGTTACCATATGGACAAGTCTACTCAGAGGGACTCGACCATGTCTGACAAATAATAAATCAAAGTTTCAACAAATATGGGAGCCAATAAAGAGAGCAACACTGAAGTAATGTGCTCCCTGTGCTCTTAAACCATCTGCAGATGAGCTATAGCTTGTTGTTGGAGGCAACGTTTACGTGATTTACAGTAATTTAGTTAACACACAAGAGACGTGAAGCTCTGTTCTTCTAGAGCCCGTCTGTAATGCCAGGGGTAAGCATGTCTAGGTGCCCACTGCTACGTCCTATACGGCTTGCAGTGAACTCAACCTTTATCCCAGCAACCATTTGGCTGATTGGATTATGGCTTCATCTCACTTTTTCAGGCCTTAAATGAAATCTTGGCTATCAAACACCAATTGTTAAGCTTCCTTCCTGGGCCTTCTCCAGGAGGGGGCCTCGTTCTCCCTGTTCCCCTCCTTAGAGAGCCTTAGAGATAGGGTAAGGAGCTCAGGCATCTGGAAGGAGCTTGGAGTAGAGTTGTGGTACATTCATGTCAGAAAAGCCAGTTGAGGTGGTTTAGACATCTGATGAGGTTGTTGTCCTAGGCGCCTTCCTTTTAAGGTTTTTTTGGGCATTACCAGCTGGGGGGACACCCCGGGGCAAACCTCACTGGATGGATGACATATGTCATCTGGCCTGGGAATGCCTCTGGATCTACCAGTAGGACCTGTTAAACATTGCTGCAGAGAGGGGCATCTAAAATGCCCTGATTTATCTGCTTCCACTGTTACCTGAACCCTGGTAGTTAATAAATATCTACCACTTTTGAAAAAGAATTATGTTTAACCTTAAGGGACTTTCTTTTCTTCTGTTGCTGGAGGATATGGTTTTGTAACCTGAGGTGCAGTTTGTCCAATCACATATTCTTTAAACCCCAATGCTGTGCTGTTCTACAGGTCCACTGAGCTGGATTTTAATTGGTCGTGGTTCCAGCTAAGATGTATGCAAGTGGGAGGCAATGCCAGTGCAGTGAGTACCTGAGGGCAAAATATCAGCACACTATCAGCAAAGCACTGCGTGAAACCCACATGGTTTAAATGGATGATTCCTGTTTGCTTTTCTGTGTCTGTTTTGACCTTTCTGTGGCAGATCACATATTTCAACCAACATGGGTGCACAGTCAGTGCTGCCAATGCCAAGTACAACAGTCGGGCTGCTCAGCTGTACAGAGAGAAGATAAAGAATTTAGCCACACAAGCTACCAGACGCCATGGAACTGAGGTAATGCAAACATCATGGTTTACTGTTAATTTTTTTTTTTTTTTTATTTAAAAAAAGAATAAGAATTTAAAAAAACACCCGTGGCTTGCTAAAGAGAGTGAAAGAAAGCTGAAGCTGAGTGAGAGAATGAAACTCTGACTTCCTGTGTTACACCTATTTTCTTATCACACTCTCTTAAAACATATCTGTTAGTACTCAGGTCATTAAATCAATTTTACTGCTCTTCTCCTCCTTAGCTGTGGCTTGACAGTCAGGCTCCTCTGTCTCCAACATCACCAGACGACAAGCAGGTGGATTTCTTCAGTCTGCATTCACAGGTACAGGAGTGTGCTCACCTAGGTGTGATTTCTATCCACATAACTGCCTTGATAGATACTCGCACTGTAACCGAGGATCAGTAATTTCACTATGTGTGTGTGTCTATGCAATGTCTAGAATCCTCCTGAAAATTTGAACATGGCCAAAATGAGTCTCAGCTCCTCCACACCCGAGAAGCCTTTGACCACGGAAAAAGACGAAGATCGAAATGGTGTGTATCTGATAAATACTGTTGCATATAAACACTTTAAAAAAAATTGTGGCTTACCACATATACATACACTCAATTTTCAGGTAATTTAGAGGAGGGACCTAGTGTGGAAATGCTGAGTGTGTCTCCGAAAGCAAATCCAGGTTTGTTTGTTTTCTTCATGTTTAGGATTCTCTGCCTTTTACTGAAGGACATTTGAATTGTATCTGAATTAGAACTTCACTCTGGGAGATTTAACTTTACTATCCTTTGCTTTTTCCAGAGCCCTCCTCTCTTCTCAAGAAGAAGCCAGCAGGTGCCAAAAAAACAGTATGTACAAAGTAATGTTTGAAAATAAAGTCTGTATAATATTGATCGAAAGCAGGACTGTGCATTCATAAAGTGTGTCTGCTTGTAGTTGGCCTCTAAGAAGGGCGGTCTGGGTGCTCAGAAGGTGAGCAGCCAGAGTTTCTCAGAGCTGGAGAAGAAAGCTCAGGCTGCTGACAAACTCAGAGAGAAAGAAGAGAGCTCCTCTGGTGCCAAGAAGAATATTCAACCTGAAGAGTCCATGTGAGAGGACTTATTGTTCTTTTAAAATGTCTTTATCTTTCATGTAGTAATCTATTGATCGCCACATAAGTGAGTCACTTTGTATCCTTTGCAAAGAGATCATGGAGCAGTTTTCAGTCTTTTTATAGTCCTAAACTCTTTATCTCAGCAAAAAGGGGCTTGAAGCATAATCAGTACATGTCCCATCTGCTACATTTGGCTCACCTGTTCAGTCTTTTTTTTTTGCCTGTTCTGCTTTTCCTCTCCTCTCAGCGCTCCTTCCATGCGACTGGCCTATAAAGATCTTGAGCAGCAGAGAAAACGTGAGGAGCAGAAGCTGAAGGGATTAGAGGGGAAGAAGAGGGAGCAGGCTGAGAGGCTGGGCATGGGTCTGGGCATCAGGAGGTATGATGATAATGAAGAACTGAATACTGCCTGTAGTTGATTTAAGAATTAGTGTTCATTCCTCTGAGTCTTGCCCTGATTTTGCTTCATTCTCAGTAGTGGAGTTTCTCACTCTGTGATGTCAGACATGCACATCATCCAGCAGGAAAGTCCACTTGGAGCTAAGACCACCAAAGGGCGACGATTTACTGACGAAGACGAGGATGAAGGGTCTTTCAGCTCTAGGTCAGATAAAGAAAAGTAAAAATGTTGATCAGCATTTAATTTATATTGCTTATAAAGTTAATATTATATTCATGTTTAAACATTATTTGAACTTGTTATTGTCATTTGTGTTTATTGGCATTTACCACATGTGCACACCCACAATTAACATGAAATCATCTCTACTGCAAGTCATGTCAAAGAGGAAAAAATACAACAAAACAACAACATCTATTGGTGCAGATTAGTTTTTAAAAGCAGGTTAATCAATATTCAGAATATTTAGGTATTAAATGGTGTATAAGTTTACTTTAAATCAAATGAGGATATTCAAAAATAATGGCATGAATGGTTTGTATTATCAACCGACTTCATGCAAATTGCAGTAAACAAAAACACGAAAACAGTCGTAAGCAGCTTTTACATTGAAAAGTCTTTAACATACCCAGCAGGTTGGTTGTTTACCATCTTGGAGAACTTGCACATTTTTTTCCCCCTATGCATTTAACTGTCTCATTGTCTTCTGTCTCTGATGCCATAACATTGTGATCAGGGCCCTGTTGGAACCAAACAATTTGTTGCATTGCTCTTTTTGGCACTGAAGACAGTTCTTAAAGTTGAATAAATGAATTTTGAGGCAGCTCCCAATGGAGCTGTATGACGGATTAAAATCTAAACTTCCAAATGCTTCAACTTTTGTGCAGTAAATGTGGTATTTATTTCCCTTAACAATATTTTAAACATTAATTCTGAGGCAGTGTCATAATTCATACCGTGCTTTGCCAGTTCTATACTGCATCTGAATACTTTCAATGCAGGAAAAGCCCATTAGAGTAACATTAGAACATAATTCTGAACTGCTTCTTCCTTTAGGGTCCTGTCTCGGTTTGAGGATCAAACAGAGACCTCAGATGATTTTTCTTCGCGGTGGAGTGAAGGACTTGATGGAGGAGGCTGGATGAAAGAGAGCAAGAAACCAGAGCCAGACTTCTACTTGTCCTCCACCATATCTTCACTTGATGACAGGTAGGATGTGTGTTAATTATAGTTCTCAGGAGCTCTGCCCTGCCCAGTGCTGTTGCTTGAGTAAGTTGAAGAATTTTGCACTGTAACATTCAACACAAGGCAGCTTTAAGTTGCAATTCATCCACACTGTCATACTGTGATTTTATAAGTATTTTGTCTTATGTCCTATTCTGTTGTTCAATATTTCCACATTCTGAAGATGACCATGACACGGATGACTAAGAATCTACTCACACATACTCATGTTTCAGTTCTTCCTGTCGCTATACCAGCACAGTTTCCATTTGTAATGATTTTCTGTTACCAGGCCCACAGCCAGGAGGAAACCAGAACCAGTACCCGTCTCAGACACAGGAGAAGCTCGGAAAAAGTTTGGACAGGATGTCAAAGCCATCTCGTCCGACATGTACTTTGGAAAACAAGACAACTCTGAGGTACACAAAAACAGCTGTATCCTGTATACAGTATGTGATAAGTGTAGATAGTCGTCATAGTTTTTCACAGAAGTCTTATAAATCCTGCACTACAGTAATAGTAGTGATGCTGTAAAGAAATCATCACATAACAAAGACAAAAACTGAAAAGTAGAAGTTTTTCCACTAAAACAGAAAAGTATATTTAGATTTTCTGAATTTCTGTTCTTCAGTACGAGGCAAAAACACGACTGGAGAGATTTGCTGGGAGCGCCGCTATAAGTTCAGCAGACCTATTTGATGATCCAAAGAAGCAGCCCGGTAAGACACGACTGCATTGTCCCTTTGCAAAAACAGCTTACATTTAAATTTGTATAATTGAGAAAGATAAATTGATGTTGAGTCTCATGCAAAAACATTCTTGTATTGCTGTGAATTGAATTTTTTTCTGTGGAGCTTCCTTGCATGAGTGTTTAAAGTCAAAAGCAAACTGTCAGTGGCACAAACTTGATGTCGTAACAGGCTTCTGTTTGATAAGCCCTCTTGTAGATATCACTACTGTGGTAAATGTTTAATCTGACTACCACACTCCCTGAAGTACTCTAACGCCAAATAATCAGAGCATGTTTGAGACAAAGAAAACTGGAAAAAGATCATTGATCTACAGTCCACCTGTAGATTTGCTGTGCACCACACAGAGTATCCTACACCAAACTGAGCTGGTCTCAGCTGAAGTTGTTGCAGAAAGCATTAACGTAAATAAAATTCTTCACCCTGCCCAGCGTGCGTCATGGGTCTCCTCAAAGTTTGATTATCACCTGATTCTCACCTCCTGTTATGAGCTGTGTTACCATCCTCGCAAGCTTTTGTTTACATTCAAACCCTGCACAATCTTTGTTTTCGGTACATTTTGTTTAAATGTTGACGTAAACAGAATGGTTCCTACCAAGCACAATGATGCAGAGAGAGCTCACAGAGCATCCTTATAAAAACTTCTTTAGGGACTTCACATACTGACAATCTATTTCATTTAATTTCATGTGGCCTTTTTTAATGCATCTATTCTGAGTACAGTTTATTAGTATGGTTTTCACTCTCCTAAATTACTAACATCATTCTATATTAGCTTCTATTATTGTATAATTCTACATATCTATCAAATATCTGAAAACATACATTTAAAATGGCCTGCGTGGACACACACTTGTTCTGTTGAAAGTATTACACTCGTTCTTAAGCTGGAGTGTGGGACTTTTACATATAATTAAACTTCTGTTACATTCAAGCATTTGCCAAACAAGTTGCACAATGTTAATTTAAACTATCAACACCAGATAAATTCCTTTGTATTTGTATACCCGTTTTACAAGTCAGATGTTTGTGGAGACATTCCCACGCTTTTGCACTGGCAAGTCAACCAGCTTTGATTTGTTTGCCAGAGCTGAAGAGAGGAGCAACTGTAACAATGGAGGCGGAGTAGGCTACTGCAGCTAGGAGTAGAGTGGCACCTATAGTGGGAAAAACCTAGGAGGTGTCCCAAAGAAGTTTCCTACTCCAGATAAAAGCAAGGAAAAATTACAGTCTAGAAAAGAAAGTGACCAGTAATGTTTGTGTAGTTACTCTCACTGCCAGATTCTGTTTTCCTTGAAGATGGAGACAGAGTGTCCACACAATACAAGCACAACATGGTCTCAACCACTTGTGTAAACTATGAATATCTAAGAGAAAATCCTAAATGCATTAAAGATGGTGAATACTTCCACTTCTGTCGTATATCCCATTTAACAACGAAGCAGTGCACCTGAATGATTCTTGCATGAGGCCCATCACTCTCTGCTTGTCTGCTTGACTCTTTGTCTTGTTCCCACAGCGAGTTCATACCGTCTGACCGACGTGCTGCCCAGCGCTCCTGACATGTCGCAGCTCAAGCTCGGAGTTCGCTCAGTTGCAGGGAAACTGTCGGTCATGGCCAGCGGCGTAGTTAGCTCGATTCAGGTCAGTCAAACACTTCAAATCAATATCCTGTATATCTACATCTTTCTTGAATACAACTTCTCATTATGTGTGTCTGTGTGTTTTTTACAGGATCACTACAGTTCCTGAGTCACAGTGTGTCTGGTTGGATTCAACATCTCTGCTTGTGCTCTGTTTAATGTTAAATAACATTTCCAGTGAGTGACGGGAGCTCATCTTGGGAGAGAAAAAGATCAGTGTGAGGAGCCGGTCTGCAGGATTTACCCCAAAATTACTCTGTATATATCTATACCCAGTTTAGATATTGTATAGGCTCAACAGATGCTAGACTCAAATCAAAATGAGCAAAGCACAACTTTTTCTGCAGACATCACGAAGGGAGGTTTCTGTATATAGGACAGTCATGAAGAATATTTAGTTTACATTCTATTGCTTAGTTTGCTTTGAGGTTTGGGGGTTTAAATATTTAGAAAAAATTTATGTAGCAGTCTGAGACGGTTTGTGGTGTTATGAAGGAGGGGTTACCTATTTGATTTCGTTAGCTGAAGAGGTCAAAATCTAAATAGGGGAGACAGTTCTGTTGTAATTGCTTAACTGGACAACACACTCTTGCTCATGCTCAACATGCACTCTCTAGTGTTGTTTTGTGCTTTTCTTGTGCACATTGATGCAGGTTTAAAAGTGTCCTTTCTGTCCCCAAAGTGCAATTATGTTTGCTCTTCCACAGACAGGACCAAAAGCTGATAAAGAGGCCTTGGGGGACCAGATATATATATTTCTTAATTGACTATCAGTTATGTAAACTGATGATTGATGGCCTCTTTAGCACATAAGCGTCATTATTCTGTGAATAGCAACTTTTTAAAATTGTTTTGTTGGCCTTGCAGATGTAATTACAAAAAGCCAGGATGACATGTTGAAGCAGCTGTTAAATATGAAGTTTAGAGGAATACACAAGGAATAGTAATGCGCATTTGCTGAGAGTTAGATAAAAATATCCACACTACTTTAATATGTTAGTCAGGCTGGCTGTTAGCTTAGTTTAGCATGAAGACCAAAAATGCTTAGCCTGGCTCTGTTCAAAGCCGGTTTTCCTGCAAAGAGGAATTTTTGGTGCCCTCCAAAGACCAGTTTTGTTCACTGGGGTTTCAGTTACCCCCCAAAGGCTCATTCTGAGCCATGAAGAACTTTGCAAAGCCACCAAAATCTGCCTGCCACCAGCTCTAAAGCTCACCGATTATATGATTGTATATTCTCTACAAATACAGAATACTACAAAGTGTAAAAACAGAACAATGTACACCGTACACAAGCTCTATTTACAACATTGCCTGTTACTACTCACAGATGAGAAAAAGACTTAAAGCAGCCAAGTGGTGTCAGGTCTTCTCAGCTAATTCTCAGCAAAATTTCAAAAGTATCTGCCTATTCCTTGAAATGACACTCTTAACAAATCAACCCAACTACACCAGAATTAACCTTCTTGATGAAGGTCAGTTGCACTATTTGTTAAATTATTTTTTTTCCTCAGTCCAGTTGTTTAGAATTAGACACTATGGTCAATGTTGTAATATAGAGATTTATTGAACTTAGAGGGGTGCCTTTAATGAGGTTTTGGTTTGAATTTTGTTGAAATCTCTATGTAGATGTTTGTGGTGAATTTCAAGATTGTAGCCTTTGGTATATGATCTAATAGCACATTCTAAGGACTGTTGAATGCCAGGATTTCCAGATGTGGTGAGACCTTTTTGTAGCTTTCAGGCCTCATTTCCACTTCAAAAATGAATGCAAACAGTCCCTTTAAAACCTTCAGAGTTCCATTTTTGTTAATGTAACACACTGCCAAGGTGTTTTCTTTAATTAAGAGAGATGGTGAAACAGAAACAGCACGATGGTTTGTGCCATAGTGGGATTTGGGGTTTGATTTTGAAAAACAGTACGGAAGCAGCTGTTATCTGCTCCTGGCTTTGATATTAAAAAAACTGCAGCTTATGCTTTAGCATTTCAGCAAAGTTTTCCATCATATTAACAATTCTACATCTAGTATAAAATTGTTCGATTAAGGGACTAGTGTTTTGTGAGCCCAGACTTTACACAGGATGAAGGTATTATTGAGCAAATTCTGTACTGTTGACACCTCTCAGGAGTTTGTTTTGATGTGGTAGAATATGAAACACTAAAAGAGAACCAAGAGCTGTACGTCCTTCAGTGACCGAATATTTTTTTACACCCATCACTTTATGCCTTAGCCCAAAGATCTTTAATTAGCACACTCTAATGTTGCAATATTGTGGAGTCTTTTAGTTACCTTTTTGCACATAATTTGTTAGAAATCGCATGTGGCAGCTTTTGCTTGGGTGTACTGTAATTGTTCGCCTCTAAGTTTACACGTCCATGTTCAACTTCCGTTTTGTTGATCTTTGTAAGATTGTTTGTGTCTTCTGCTGTGGAATATTGTTGAATGTTACATAGAAGAATAGCAGCTTGTGTAACTTGCATGGCCCTTGTAGCTTGTAGAATACACATCCTGAATAAAAGATGTTAAGTAATAGCTGTATAGTAGGCTACGGACTGCTACATACAATGTAGTATAGGGCTTTGAATTACCATTTACAGGAAGCTACTGATAATCCGATTTTGACAATTTTTGACACTCAAAATGTAGGTAAGAATTTTGGAAAACATGCCAAATAAATGGCTTGTGGCTAAACTCTCCTGTCTTAATTATTTGTCCAAATATATGCACTGTACACATTTCTTTTGCAACTGTGTAAGCTTTAGAATTAAAAAAAAAAAAAAGTCAGATAATTGTGAAAAATTTCACTGTTAATTAGGATTTCACACATTATTGTGCAAACAATAGTCCAACCCATAAGATGTTCAACTCTGTTATATAAATCAGAGAAAAAGTAGTAAATCCTTACTTTAAAGAAGCTGAAATCTTGGAATATATTTGGCTTTTTATTTTTTTATTTTTTGGCTTTCTATGTGGCTTAAATAATCAGTCAGAAAAATATTGCAGAATATTTTTTTGCTAATCGATTAATCAGGTGATCGATTGAATGTCCCAGTTCTGCAGGCATTATTAATCCATCAAATGCTGGCAGCCGCTTACGTGGCTGACTGCGGCGTTTACGGTACCTCCTGTGCTGTCGGATTTGTGAAGGTCTAGGATGGAGCTTAGTCGCAAAATCTAACTAAATGTTAAACGTGACTGAAAGTAGTATTTTTTGTGTAAAACATTTATGTCTGATGTAGTCTTGAGTTAACAATTGTTGTGTTTGTGGCAGATTTGCAGTTTTGATGCCTCTCACTGAGCTGTGTGGAATTTCTTTCAAGGAGCACTTGAAGGCAGCATGAGAAGAAGCCTTAAAGCTGTCTTATAGCGGTAACACGCAAGAAACAGCCGTTATTTAAACCTTTTTTTAAAGGTTATTTCCTTCATTATGAACTTGTATCGGAAGCAGGAATATTATTTTACCCGGCAAAGAAACGAATAGGTATTTCGTTTTTTATCTGGTAGGCTTTTTTTTTTAGTTTCTCAAAGTAAAAGTTAAGCAGCGGTTTATTTAGCTTGCTAAAATGCCAACTGAAGTAAAGCAAAGAAAGAAAACTCAGGCACAGAAACAAAACGATGAACTATCAGAAACTGCAAAGTATGAAGCGCAGAAAGTGAAGACGGAAGAAAACACTGGAGCAAATAAAGCGTCTTCGGGTCTGGACGTTAAAAGTCTGATGTGTTTACTGTCGCTTGCAGCTTGCGGAGTTTTGAGTTGGTGAGTTAAAATATTAATATGATGTAAACAGGTTTTTTGTTTGTGGTGTTTTGCTGTCTGCTAAAGTTCCTCTGGGTTTCAGGATGGTGCTGCAGCAGAATGAGAAGTTTTCCCAAATTGAAGAAAAGTACAAATCGCTGCATGGAAAAACTTCCAGCCTGTTCGACATGGAGGAGGAGATTGTCAGAGTTTCTAAAAAGGTGCGTTTAAGGCCACGGAAGAGCTTTAAAGGGTCGCTTCACCCAAATTCCTAGTTGCCCAAATTTTGAGATTTCTGCCTTTTAAGTGAATGTGACTCACTAAAACTACCTTCCACTGAAGAAATGGTCTCTGTTCTACCTTTTGACAGTGTGTTCTTTGTATTTTCCAGAATAATGGAGCTTTTCATTGCTTTTTTTTTTGCAAAACTTGGGCAAATATACCTGAAACTGTCTGGAAAACTGTCTCAATCTAACTTGAGGTGTTAGCTATAATATGTAGTCACTCTGTATGCAATTTGGGTGAAATGATCCTTTAAATGTGTCCTCAGTTTGTTTTTACTTCTATATTTAGAGCAAGAAATTTTTGTCCCAACAAGTCACCGTTATTTATAGAGTACATTTAGAAGAGAAGCAGTTTAGTTAAGTGCTTTCCAACAGAGAAATAAGATTAATGTAGCAGATTTACCCAGTTAAAGCTGCTTAAAAGAAAACAAAAGGGCGATTAAAGCAATTAAGAGTAGGTACAACTAGGGCAGCTTCAGAGAGAACTGAAAACAATGGGGGGAAAAAGTGTGCCTTTTATTTTGATTAGAAATTGCCAGTGGTGGGATTTAATGTGGAATGGGAAACCGTTCCAGAGTCAGGGTGTGTAACCAAAGAGGTCTTGTTGAATTTGGTTTTCAGGCATGAGTAGGTGACCAAGAGGAGTAAATGTGATAATGACCTAAGTGGTCGAAGGGCAAAAAATTATTGATAATGTACTGTCAAGTTATGATGAAAGGGTTTGAAAGCAAATAGTAGCTTTTTAAACTTAATCCTATAATTCACTGGAAGCCAGAGAAAATAAACCAAAGCAGCAGTGATGTGATGTGTTTTTTTTTTTGTTTTTTTTTAGTTTTTATACGATTTTTTTTAGACCCTGGCAGCTGCATTCTGAACTGGACTGTGTCAACCACATATACAGGGACTTACAGTAGTCCAGTTTATTGTGGTTTAAGTTTCAGTTTTGTTGAGTGAAAAAACAAAGTCTCTTGACATCATTGGTTCACAAAGCAGGGGTTGGGTTCTGCCAGTTTGTCACAAGAGATGATTCACAGAATAGAAAAGAAGAAAAAAAACCCACAATTGCAGTGTTTCTGCCAAACAAAATGTTCAGAGATTTTTTACAATTTTTCGTAATGTCTCTGGTTTTCATAATACATTCTGGATAGTTTAGCATATTCAAACCCATAAAAATGACTCAAACTTGACAAGTTAGGCTGAGACAAAACATCTCTCACACCACATAAACCTCAGAGAAAGAGGAAAGAAAACGTTGCTTTATTGTTAAGGGGTCACATGTTGGAAATCACTGCATTAAATGACATTTAAAACTTGTGCAAGCCTATTGTCATGAGGAAAAAACTACACTTAGCTGAGCACAAACGATCTCTCCTACATTTCTATTGACATTTGGGGCCTCACTCAGCACATTGTTTCTTCTTTTAAAGTTCACTTCTGCTCAGCCTCATGTTTGCATGAGCTTACTTTCACTGTATATATTTGATATGAGCACTGAGGATCATAGAGCTCCCACAGAAACAGCCCCCCTGTTTTGTGTTGCGGCTGCAGCTTGCCGCCTCTGAGGATGACCTTCAGGCAGCGCTCTCCACCGTCTCCTTGGCGACAAGACTCCAGCAGGACATCTCCACCCTCCACGCCGCTGTCATGGCGATGCAGGCCGACGAGAACTCCGCTTCCCGGGACCTGCAGACGGTCAACGCCCACTTCCTCAACGTGACGGAGACGTGGCAGGAGCGACTGGCTGCCGTCACCTCCGACCTGGCCGCCCTCAAGGCCGAGTCCCGGGACGCTCACGCCGGAGCCACCGAGCGGGTGAACGAGGCTGAGCAGAGGGCCCGGTCGCTGGCGGAGAGGCTGGGGGAGCTCGAGGACAGCACGAAAAGGAACGCCCGAGCTCTGGAGCGCACAGAGGAGGAGGACGCCAAGCGAGCGCAGGATCAGCTGGACTGGAACACCAAGCAGATCCACAGGCTGGAGGAGCAGCTCAGCAGCCTGAGCAAGAGGGAGGCTGAGCTGAACTCTCAGCTCCAGGAGCACATTCCCCGAGCACAGCAGTGTGAAGAGCACCTGCCACAGGTGGAGGAGGCGGTGCGCTCCATCCTCAGGCTGGGCGGCGATCTGAACGCGGCAGAGAAGAGGCTGGAGGAGGTGACGTTACAGGTGTTTGGGACTGAGGACAGCATGCTGAAAGCGTTGAATGAAATCCTCGAGATCAGGCAGGAGCTGGACACCCTGCAGGCTCACAACAGCATCCTGAAGATGAAGAATGAGTTGTCCGTGGTTAAAGAGGCGGTCCATGAACTCACCATGGTGTTGAGGGAAAGTAGGGTCGACGGCCACATGGACTCTGACACTCTGGAGGAAGAGGGTTGGAAAGATGAAGAGGAGGAGGAGGAAGAGTGGGAAAGGGATGACCAGGACGAACCAACTCAACCCCCTCATGATGACCTCAGTGAATGATGTCATTGTTTTGTCGGCTAGGGAAAAGGAGTGGCGATGTCGGGTCTTATTATTTGCTGTAAAAAGTCTCAAATGAAGTTCAGTATTAAAGTTTTGTGACAGTTGTACCTCAGTTTAATGTCAGAAAACTGTGTCCTATCGTTGTGAAAGTAGCCTGATGTCAACATGAACTCAGGAGTACATGCACTGTATTACAGCACACACATTTAACTTCATGTACCATTTTTATAAAGCACATTTTGTTACTCTCAAGCTGTCCATTTGAAGTTTTATTACAATAACTGTGCCCATTTTTACATGTACATTTAGTTCATTAGACGACTGACAATTGCTTATTTAATGTATCAAGCAAACATTGTCCAGTTTATGGTCTTATTCATTTGTAAACTGAATATTTTTTTAAGTGTTTCCTGGAGAAAAGAAGTGTTTTGATGGTGTGTTAAGAAATTGGATGCAATTTCCTGACATAGACCTACAAATGCGTAGATAATGTAATCAGAAAAACAAGCAATAATGAACAAAATCATTACTTTCAGCTTTTGTAAATGTAAAATTAATCAACATATTTTTGATATTTGTTTCCACCATGGCAAGCAGTTAATCACTGAGTTTATTTAATAAAATCACATTTTTTATACATATAATGCCTGTTGTATTGTTTGAATGTACTTTGTTTTGTCATTTGCCTTCTGCTCTGAGGCACCAGTTTCTCTCATGGCCTTTCTTTTTTAAAGGGAAGACAACTGATGCCTTGTAATGCAGGATTGCTTCAAGTAGCTTCCGTCTCCTGCACAAACACACATGTGGCATCCATCACTCCATGTACTATGTGTTCTGTTTCAGTGTGAGAGCGTGCAGCTGATGCTGGAGGGTCTCGGGGGTCAGCGGGGGTCTCTGCAGCCTCAGCTGGAGGGTTTGGAGCAAGACGTCGGCCGGCTGAAGGAATGGGCCTCCGGGCTGACGGAGAAACGAGCTCAGCTTCAGAGCAGCTTGACTTCACTCAGAAACGCTGTGGGACAGATTGAAGAGCGCACCTCAGCCATCACCAAGGACTTCACCAACAAGGTTTGTCCACTTGTTTGCTTGCAGACTCTTTGTTTTTCTGTTTCTGTCAACTATAAAAAAAATCTGTGCAGGGCTTTGGCCCTCTAGACGCAGGCTTTCCATTATTGAATAACGTTGCAGTTTTTTCTTGAATAATGAATTCATGTGAGCTTACTACCATATATGGCAAAGACAAACTTCAGATCCTGAGTTTTGAGAAGATTCAACCACCAAATATTTGGCATTTTTTACTTTAAACATTTCTTACAACTATAAAAAAAGAAAGAAAATAATCATCAGTAATTTACCATAATTAACTTAAAAACAATTTAAAATAGATCAATTAACTCAATGTAGAATTACAGAATTAACACTTCTTTTTCTGTTAAATGTCACAATTGTATTTCATTTCATAAATAAATTTAGAGTAATAAACTTGAATTTAACAGTTTCATCTATTAAATAAAATGAAAATATTTGTGAAATTAAGATAGTAAATTTGCGAATGTGTGACATTCTTTTTATGGTTATCCACATTTAGTGGGTTTTTATATCACTTTAAATTAGACATGTAAAGTCACATTACTCATTACTCTGTTTTTGTAGTTTTGTTGATTTTTGTTTAATTCAAAATCACAAAAAAGTTAAAATTTAAAAATTCATAAAAAAAAAAAAAAAAGTGTCTTCTTTTGTATTTCTGACAGGAAAATGAATGAAACAAGCTCCTTTTGCAGGGGTGAAAATGTTTTTTTTCCTACAAACCCCTTCGTTTTTACAACACAAACATTTCCTAGCTGCAGTTTCACACTGATTTCCTCCTGTGTTGTCCCTCCAGGTGGCGTCGGTGAGGACAGACGTGCGCAGGATGGACGGCCTGCAGTCTGAGTCGGAGTCTCTGCTGACTCAGGTGGGGGAGCTGGAGGACAAGACCACTCAGGTGGAGCACAACATGGTGAAACGCATCGGCGATGTGCTGGCCAACAGCATAGATCGAGTCTCCAATCTCCGAGCCACATCAGAACGCAACACTAAGGCCATAGAGCAGCTCCGAAGGCAAGTCCCTGAACTCACTGCCACTGACAAGCAGATCTCAGAGCGGCTGAGGGAGCTGGAGAGCGACCGGGCTCGCCTCATAAGAACAGTGACCTTCGCCAGCGACCTTAAACCGAAGGTGGCCGCTATCAAGAGAGACTTTGGGGCGTTTGATCCTCAGCTGTCAGACCTGACTCTCCGTATAGGACAATTAGCAGAAGATCTCGGTAAGAGAGAGCAGGAGATCGCTGAGCTCCGACAGACTTTAACTAATCTCACCGCAGTTGAGGGAGATTTAAATGTTACGACTAAACAGGTTAGTGAAATAGCTGATCTGTCTGATATCGGAGAGATGCACAGGCCGACATGAAAAACATTTTTTGGCTTTCGTTCAGTTATTCCATCTGATCACCTGTCACACTGCTGTTTGAGGAAATCAATGTTAAAAATTTAATAAATATGAACATTTGTCCACTGGATAGTCTGAACATCATTAAAGCACAAATCCAGTAACCTTCGCTTTTAATATTTTGGAGTGTGAACAGTTTAGCAGCCGGTCTGTCAACATTCCTAAATGTACAAACATGTTTTTGAGGTTTGTTTGTGAAGCCCATGACAGAGATTCCTCTCCTGGTTTCTGTCCTGCTCTGTTGGAGTTGCCTGATTGACATGTGACTGGTTTATTGTTTTTCATTTCTTTCACGTCTTGTGATTCAGAAGTTCTGGAAATGTAAAAATTATAATAGTAATAATTCTATCATTGTTGAGGGTGGAGCTTCACAATTTGGTGGAATATGCTTATTCACATTCCTGCTGAGAATCTATAGATGCCACTTTAATGTTTGTGGGCCAGCGGTTATCCACTGCAGGGGTTGTTTGGCCGATCAAGGGAAAATCAATCCATTATCTATACACCCGGGTCATGGGGGGCTGGAGTCTATCCCAGCTGACTTAGGGTGAAGGCAGGGGACACCCTGGACAGGTCACCAGTCTATCACAGGGCTACACTTAGAGACAGACAACCAAGCACACTCACATTCACACCTACGGACAATTTACAATCACCAATTAACCTCAACATGTTTTTGGACTTTGTGGGAGGAAGCCGGAGAACCCGGAGAGAACCCACGCTGCACGGGGAGAACATGCAAACTCCACGCAGAAAGATCCCGGGTGTCCTCACTGGGACGCGAACCAACGACCTTCTTGCTACGAGGCAATGGTGCTAACCACTGCGCCACCTTGCAGCCTCAGGGGAAAATATATAGTGAAACTAACCTGAATGATTTATGTCAGGGAGAAAACATTTGGTGACCTTTAATTCACGAAAATTCAACTTGATTCAAGCTTTTATTTCTGAATTGCTTTTGCTGTCAGTGTTAAATATTGATCAAAATTGTAGAAAGGCATTTTTTGGCTTCCACAAAAACCACCACTGTTGGTTAATCAAGCTTCAGCAATCAGACCAAAAAATGTAGAAACAACTGTACTGGTACAGTTAGTGGTTTTGAGCAACAAATAGTCAAGCCTCCATAAAACAGCAGAATGTCACTTTTAACTTTTTAATCCCAGATCTTTGGACAGAGCCATGCTACCTGCTCAGCTCATTCGCTGCTGCTATTTAGCATGCAGACGTGCAGCTGAACTGATTGATACTGACGTGAAGAAGCTCCTTATTTTTACCCCTGTGGTCTTATAAAACTTGACATTCCACTTCGTTTCCACAGCTATGTGAGCATTTCCTGGCCTCTCGGGGGCCCTCCTGCGTTATTTCAAGAGTTTATTGGCGTCCAGATGCCTTCCAGCGAAACTTTGAAGTTTTCCGGTGAAGCGGTCGCACAACAAGTGCCTCAGGTGTTGCACAAGAGAGCACATTTTTACCAAACACCTGGAAGAGAGTCAAAACTATCTGCTAGCTGTCACTTGTAAATGAAAGAGTTCGACATCAGGTATTCAGTCGCTGCAAAGCTGATAATCAGAGGCTAATTATGTAGTTAAAGAGGGATTTTCTGTTTTTAATCATCCCTCAGCACTGTACATTTTCATTCCCGCCCTCACCATGCATGTATCCCCCCATGATGTAACAGTACAGGCAGCTGAACCAAATTAAGGAACCATTTCGTCATAAAATTCACACCACAAAATAATTCTGCACAGCTTCGAGTCAACAAGATTTTTTTTTATTCTTGTAAAAAAAAAAAAAAAACATCATGTGAGTGAGTAAACAAAGGAGTGCTCAAAAAGAGCTTATTATTGCATTTAGAGGTTCAAAAAAACAGCCCTGGCACAGAAAAACAAAAACATTAAAAATATTAGAAAATAAAACTACAGTGCAGAATGAGTGTGGGTTTGAATTCACAGATCAGCAGTCCAGCTCTCGCTTCAGTTTTCCTCCTGTTTGCTTGTTTTCTACCAAAGTGTGCAACATCATGACATCAACCATCAAGTTTGAGAAATTCTTCTTCTAGAGAATAAGAAAAGTGGGTTGCAGTCACCCGTTTGGATTCAGTATCGTCCCTGGTGTTGGATGTTTCAGTACCCTGGTGTGATCCTACTTCTTCTTGCCGGGGGCTTTGGCTAAACCAGCGAGTGTCTGCGTGGTCTTCTGCAGCGCCTCCTGGAGGGCAGCGATAGCCTGATCGTGGCCTTCCAGCTTGGCTGCTTTGCTTTCCAATCCTGCTACCATGTTGCTCAAACTCTCTAGCTGCTCTGGCTTCATCCTGCCGCTGCTGTCCTCCAGAGCGGCGAGCCTCTTCTGCAGCTCCTCCACCTGGTTGGAGTCCTCTGCAGCTTGCTTGCCGTTCACAGCGGCCATGTTGGACTGGAGCTCCTCCACTCTGCTTTTCACTGCCTCCAGCTCCTGCACTAAACCACCCTTGGCTCTGTTCGCAGCCTCCCCCTGGGCAGCCAGTTCACTCTCATGTGTGTCGTATTTGGCAAATAGTGAGTCTACTTTGGAGGTGATGTCTGACACGGATGCGGACAGCGAGTCTCCGCTCTCCTCTGATGCTTTAACTCTGGCTTCTAGGTCTTCGGATCTTTTTTGCGCCTGATCAGCTGCTTCATTCGCCCGCTTCTCCACATTACGAACAGCGTCAGTGAGCTGCTCCACGCCGCTCTCCAGTGTCACAGTTTTGTCTTTTAGCACCTGAACTTCTGCCTCTGCTGCAGACACTGACTGCCTCAGACTGCCAGCGGTCTCCTGCACCACTGACCTCACTGTTTCTACCTCCTGAGACAGTGAAGCCACTTCGCGGTTGCGAGTCTGGAGCTCTTCCCTCACTGCACCGATCTGCTCTCTGAGTGAATCAGCTGAGGCGTCAGCTCCCTCTTTGGCTGTCTTGATTTCAGCTACAGCATTAACGATGGCAGACAGCTCTTGTTTGATGAGGACAGGGTCTTCCATGTCACCCAGCCGGGCTTTAAGGTCAGCCAGCTGGCTCTGCGCCTCGCCCTGAGCTTCGGTGAACTCCGCCACGCTGGCTTTGATGGACTGACTCACCTCAGCCAGACGCTCCTCCACGGTCTTCTCCAGAGAGGAGAAGTCCCTCTCTCGAGCCTCCTTCACCTCGTTGATGCCCACTGAGAGGTCCCTGAGTAGATCGTTCTGGAGCTTCTGAAGGGCCTCCTCCACCCTCCTGGTCTCCACTTCGCCCCTCTTCATCCGGCTGACGGCTCCCTCCAGCTCCACCCGTGTGATGCCCAGTGATGACTCCAGTCCATCCACAACACTCCTCAGAGACTCCACCTGCACAAGACATGGAAACACACAGCTTTAATCCATTTTAACATCCACACACCACGGCTTTCACACACGAACACTGTATCTATTCATGACATGTCTCCAAAAAATCTCAACTTTCCAAGAAAAATAACCTCAATTTCAGCTTTGTGATGATGTTTTTTTCAGATAGCTTATTGTTCATTTAGCTCAAGAAGGAGAAGAACATGTTCCTCCATTCAAAGCTACTTGACCGAAGTTAAGTGCTTTCCAAAATTTTATATTAAATATTACCCATAGAATTATACAATCCTTAACTAAAGTACAACTGAAGCTTAATTTTTAAGTTAATGCACTGGAAAATAAAAACAAACCATTTTTAACTGTAATTGTTTTTTAACTATTATTTCAGTGATGTTCCCAGTTTTGTTCAGTTACAGATTTACAGTATTATGTTACATTTTAACTGTAAGAATACAGGCCAAAACTATAAATATTTCCACATCAAAAATCTGTATTTTTATAAATGGTAATTCATTCTATTACAATAGTTTGATTGTAAAATGACACTATTATTGCTGTGTTTAAATCAGTACAAAATTCTGATAGTTTACACATATTTGCAGTAATTTGAAAAAAATCAAGCATTGAAAATTATATAATTTTTTAATAACTTTTATTCATTTATTTTAAAAGATTTTTCTCTTTTGTTAAATTCCAGATATCTACAAAAAGAAATCACAGAAAAAAAGTACTATTTACATGTTTGCTGTAAAGAAAACAGGCCAAAATTGTCAATAATATCCTCATAAAAAAATCTGTATCTTAACAAATAGTCATTTGTTCTTTTCTAATGTGTGACTGTAACACTGGATATGACACTGAATCAGTATTTTACAGAGTTTTTACATTATTGTCACAGTTTTTACAGTTTTTGAATGATAGAGGATTCCATCGCACACTTGCTGTCAGATTTCTAAGGTTCCTTTATGTTTTTGTTGTTTTTACAGTGTATAATGAACTTAATAGCCTTTTCCGGAGCTTTCAGTGTCATCTCATGTTCTTCACCAGTAACTTGAGGCGTCTCAGTCAACATAGGCTTGGTTCAGTTGACTCAGATGCATTCATTTGCTCATGAAGGTCATGGGGTGTGGCTGAAATCTCAGAAGAATGCCATCAACTTGACTTTGAGTTGAGATTATTTTGTCAAACTGCTTTTATCTTCTTTGCTCTTATTAATGTTAGAATTACGCAGTGTACGTTCAAATTTTACACTCACTGAATATTAACAGATACTCCAATATAATGCATTTTTTTACATCATATTTCTTGAGTGTAATATTTAAAGGCTTATAAATTACAAAATGTGGAGACAGTATAAACATTTTTTGAGCTTAAATAATCCTAACTTTTATCATGTTTGGGGGAAAAAGCACTTTTGAGTTGTTGCTGCAACTAATTTTAATTTTTGCTGAAAAGGAACACTTTTTAAAAATGTTTAAAGTAACTACAATTAAGGGAAACATGTGATAGAGAGCAGATAGATTATAGTTAATATTAAGTGGTGAGTTGTCATCTAAATTTACCAAACAGCTCAAACACGTTGAACCTGTAGTGGCTATAATTTTTTGCATAGGATGAGTCATCACATAGCTGGAATCAGAGCTGGTAAATATTTGTAAGTGAGAGCAATACATGCTGAATGGAACTAAAATTGCTTATAGGATGCAGGGAAATGATTCAGGAGTGAGGAATGAATGAAATAGGGGAGGACTTTAATTATATAAGCAAATGGGCACTTTAATTTCCAGGCAATGGCATTGAATAAGGATTCTTTAAAGCAACTTTTAGCACTTTTCAGTCTTGGAAAAAGATTTTTGGTAACGATTTGACTGCTTATAGTGAAATCATATTCTTTAAGACACAAAGGAAGAATGTCTTCTCTCTCCCCTGAAGTGATTGACAGTGACAAGTCATCCTTATCTGCTCTGTGCAGATTCTTCTCATACAGAATGAAAAAACAACATAAAGTAGGAGTGATTTATAATTTAGACTTACAGTGACTTTAAAACTTTTAAAAACTCAACTTTGCTGCTTGAAAAGTTTAACCAGCTCAGCACATCCATCCTTGTAAATGCACCCAACCCCCAACAGTACATAAAGTACAACAACATCATGGAGGCTTATGTAATTCTGCACAAAATCAAGTCTACCAACAACAAACAGCAGTGTGCATGTAGTATGCTCCTAAGTATGTGGGTCTGGAGACAGTTTGCAGCATTTCAACTATTCTGACACTTCTTTCCATTGATTCCCATCCTTTCCCACCTACCTGTTGAACGACACTCTCCATTTTGCTGCTCAGCTCTGCGCTCTGCTGTGCGCTCTCCTCATGTTTTGCGTTTGCCTGCCGGATCTCCTCCACAACTTGCTGTAAATAAAAAGCAGCAAAGCCTGCAGCGCCTATCAACGCGATATAAAACACTGTTGTCACAAGAAGCCCGAGGCAGCTTCCTGAGCGTGGCCCCTGAGATCCGGGGCCACTCAGCCCGTTACTGCTGCTGCTGCTGCTCTTTGGGCTTTTCTTTGGCGCATCTTCTTGGCTGGATGCGACGCTCTTCTCGCTGGACTTGTGTCGGTTTTTCGCAGTCATCGTCAGTGGGAGCTCGGTGAGACGTGTGTGTGTGAGTGAGTGTGAGAGAGTTTTTTGGTTTTGCAGTCGTGGATGGGATGGGGAAGGTTTCCAGTTCAGGCCCACTGGCTGGACCAGCAGCGTATCAGTGAGCGCGTCGTGTCTTTCCACGGGGCTTTTTGCGCTGAGGTATGCGGATGGGGGCTGTCCCACGTTCAGCCCCAGCCTCTTTATTGGTCTTGTTTTAATGACTTAAACCACCAGGAAACAATGAATGATTTGTGCTACAGTTGGAGCTGAGTGTTGATGTTGGTTCAATCTTTGGATCAGATAATAATTTAACCACAAAAAAAAAAAACAAAGATGAGAAGGAAGTTTGCACATCAGCATCAGCCTCTGATCATTTCCAAACAGCCATTTGAGGAGCTTAAGTTAATTTTGTGCAAGGTTTAACCACTGCAAAAGCAAGTGATTTAACTTTGGAAGTGAATCACAGCGATTTTAGAGGAAAAAAGACGCATCAATTTGGCGCAAACTCTCACCAACATTCTTTAAAGTCTATCAATCTGTGCACTACATGCGCAAACTTCTCATTATTAATCTGACACATGCTTCTAAATGCTGTTCTGTGCTGATGCAAACTTTCCGCAGAGAAGCAGTGCAGGGAGGAGCTCCCACTTTCCTCCAGCTCGCTCCTCCTTTCATACGTGGCAGCTCTGCAGCCTGTCACATCTTATATCTGAGGATCAGAGCTGCACATCACAAAACTCACAGCTTTTATGTCCACAGACTGAGAAGGCAAGCGTCCAAAGTCCTCCAGTGGCTGCATTTCTTCAGTTAAAAAGGGGGAAAGAGTCACATTTTATGGCTCTAAGATTATGCTTGCAAGTAAATGAACACATTTCTGCCCAGTGTAAATGTGTTTGTTTCCTCTTCTTAACTTAAAGTTCACTAAATCAATGAAAAACATCACTTTAAATGCTTTAGTTCAGCTTATTTAGTGCTAATAATCACTTTATATTGGTCTTGATATCCTTCTCTACTCCTGATTAATGCATTTTAAAAAAATAATAGTATATATTTAGGCCTTAATTTGACTTTATAATTTGTAGTTTCCTCTAACATTAAACTCTAGAGTTTGTTTATAGTGTTGTGTTCAGGCCAAATCCTAAAATCTCAGCCTGCAAACCACAAAAAGAAAACATCCCTGTATGAAAAAGTTTTGCTGCCTCAGCTGTATTCTGAAATTACCCTTCAAGAAAAACCAGTTAATTTGTACCTTGTCCAGGGTATGTTCTTAGTTTGAACACTAGATGTCACTAAAAGTGTTTTTATGCTGCCATAGCAACGCAGTGAAGCCAGATCCACGTTTACTCCATGTGATAGTTACTTCTACACAAAACAGAAATGCAGAAGTAAAAGATTTGTTTGGCATGAAATTGCAGCATTATATGTGTGATAGGCTAAATGAATTGTTGATGCTTATTTTAAAAAAAAAGATTTACTGCCACAAATTTTCTTTAAATCAGTAACTATGTGCAATACAACAAAGGTCATTGAAAGCAGCATAAAGCATCCTGTATGAGTGCACGACACATAGAGAAATGACCTGAGTAAGACAAAAACTACTAGACTATAAATGTAGTATCCATGAAAAGAGTTTCCAAAAGAAAACGATTATAACTAGCACATCACACTTCACTTTTTTGGGGGGAAATTACTATAAAGAGAACAAAAAAGCAGGGAGATACAAAAATGAAATGACATACAAAAAGATGTGTTTGACCACCTATGAGAAATAATACATTCAGCATCATGTGCAAAAACTATTGTTTCTATATTTTTAGACACCTGTTGTCCAGCAGTCGCACATACAGTCATGAAAAACCAAAAGAGAAGATTAAATAAATTAACTAAAGAAGCAAAATATGGATTTTATATCAGTTTTTTGATGTTGTTTTTATTCTTTTTGACAAACTTACTATGTATCTGTACCTGTGTGTAAATCCACACACACTAAGCTCTTCATGACCGAGCTCCGTTGCATCTTAAAGATCTTATTGCACCATATCATACCAACAGAGCTCTTGCTTTGCTCTTAGACTGCAGGTTTTCTTGTGGTTCCTGAAGTTTCTAAAAACCAGAACAGGAGGCAGAACCTTTAGCTCCTGTGGAATCAGCTCCCAGTTTGGGTTCAGGAAGCAGACAGCGGCTTAAAATTTTCCTTTTTGGATAGAGTTTATCGTTAGTGCTGCTCAGGTGATTTTTATCCCTCAGTTATGCTGCTATAGACTGACACTGCTGGGAGACTTTCCATGGTGCACTGAGTACCTCTCCTCTCCACTCCCTTTTTTTCTTTCTCTCTAGATACAATTAAATTCTACTAGTGCATGTCAGTAACTTTTTGTCCTCTGGCTGTGGAGCTGCACGTTTCTGATCTGCAGTTACAGGCCTCACTAACCAAGTGTTTATTGTTCTTTTATGTTTGTTCTTGTTTATATTCTCTCTACGTTTTACCCTCACTCCAACCGGTGGAGGAAGATGCGAGGCCTCCCTAAACCTGGTTCTAGAGGTTTTTTCCAGGTAAAGAGGAAATCTTTGGATTTGTTGGGTTATTCTCTTGAACTTTGTAATGTGAATTGCCTTGAGGTGACATGTTGTAAATTGGTGTTGAATAAATAAAACTGAATTGACTTGCATGTTGAGTTTGCAAAAAGACTCCTTTTTTTTAAAATTTGCAGCCTTTTGGCAACCAAACATTGCAGGTAAAAGAAGACAAAATTATCAGTGCGTACATAATATACACATAAGGCACACGCAATTAGCCAGAAAGCTTAACAGTCGACACAAACAAACAATATGAATCACATCTCAGATGAAGTCATGGGTCGCTGGAGGTGATGTGCAGATTTCCCAGCAGACCGTGAACGCAGCATCAGTCTCCGCCCAGACGCCGTGACAACCGACGCCGCTCCGCTCCGCCGTCCAGGTGTACGGTGTGCGATATTGCAGAGATCTGGACCGTTTTGGAGCTCTATCAGTGTATCTGCATGAAATGGCCTAACGCGATATGCTTTGTCTCGGAGCCCGGCTGTCGCTTGGACTTCTCAGATGCCGTCTGCCTCCCTCACCCCTCCGAGAATAGAGCGGGAACGCCGCTAAAATGAAGACTGACACGGGGATAAGAATTTGAGCTGTTTATACCTCGAGTGGGAAAAGCTAGCGGTGAGGCTAAAGCAGCCAGCCAGCTAGCCAGACAGCTCAGACACCCGGCAGCGGCGGCTCGGATATCGGATTTGCGCGGCCATGGCGGGGCTCATCAAGAAGCAGATCCTGAAGCATCTCTCCAGGTCAGTGGCGAGCGGAGGCTAACGGGCAGGCAGCGGGGAGGGAAGGACACAGCTGTCAGTTAGCTAGCTGTCCTCAAAATGTCACTTTAATGTTACGAGTGTGTTTCGCTGGACGTGGAAGTAAACGGTGTTGTTATTTAGTCCACGTTCGTGTTGTGTGTCGGACTGTCAGTTGCGTTTTCAGCCCTCTTCGACCTGGGACGTGGCTGCTAACGTGTTAGCATCGGGGTTAGCTCCGGCTAATCCCTCGGCTCTCGCTAAAGGCAGGTTGAACCAGTCGAGTGGTTGAGTCAGATTGTTTGAAACAACAATCTCAGCCTTCCCATAAACGGAAATTACCCTCCAGTTACCGGCAGCTAATTAAAAAAGCAACATAAACTATTAAACCGAGAGATATTACAGCAAGTATAAAAGGGAATAATGAGAAGTTAGGAGCAGGGTTGGGTGGTTTGTTTACAAGGCTTTAAACCCTACTTATCTGGTATTTTCACCCCTATCAGGTATCACAGAGTCCACATTGACCCTCAAAGTCCTCAGCACAAAAGATAAGATCATTTAGAATGGGAAATCCACTACACCTAGTTCAACACCATGAGTCAGACTGAGAATTTCAGTAATAAGCAACTGGACTTTTATCTTTTTTTCAAGGTCTTCAAGAACCATAAAGAAAATTCCACTTTTTATTCTGAGGATTTCCATGAACTGGATGACTCAGAATCTACACAAACATATTACACATATTAGCATGTTGCGTCACTTCTAAGCTCCCTGTTATGTACCAAGAGATAAATGAACCTAATATAGGTTCAGGATCTGTTTATTGGCACTGCTACAAGCTGTACAAGACTCCATTCATTTATTTATTTCCTTTTTTTTATGTCTTGCTGTTATGGATTGCATTTAGCTCTACCCTGCTTTACATGCATTATTTATTCTTTTCCACTGTCCCTCATGGGACTTTCAGTGGGCTGCTTCCTTATTTTGTACTGGGGGGGAGGTTGAAATGTACAGCAAACTGAATTTACAACACCTTTACTTCAAACAGTAGCGTGTATTGAATGATAATGATGGTTGCAGGGCAGAATATTAAACTCAAAGGTGGACGGAGCTCAGAGGTGGCATAAAAAAAAGACAGCTGTCATATTTATATTACAGGTCACAGATGAGTTAGGCTCATCAGTATGCTGCTGGACTGGTTCGTGTTCTTGAAAAGAAAAGGCGATTGCGGTTAGTGAGAGAAGTCTTTGCGGCTGAGTTGTGATAAATTTGTCACACACTGGTTAATACCTTATTGCTTTGTCATTCATATGCTTACACAATGTCAAACGTTCAGTGTCTGCCACACACAGCCCATGGGTGGCACGTCCTTGAGTGTCCTAGTGCGTTTTAAGTGTGTGTTGAGAATAATGCACGTTTCTGCACATGACTGTGTTTGCCCTCAGCAGCATTAGCATCACCATTGACAGGAAATGGCTAGAAGAAAAGTGATGTCATCTGATCTTCGTCCTGGCCTGATTGGTCCGTCACCGAGCGGAATCCGTCCCGTCTGACAGTCGGCCAATCCTGCGCCTTTCGGTGTAGTGATGTCATGATAAAAGTGCTGGTGTCAGAATGCCGAAGCAGCATTACCTTATAGACTCCAGCTGGAAGAGTGTCATTATGTATGCTTGGATGATTCAGGCTGGAGTTTATCTGCTCAGTTGCAGCATCGTGCTGCTTTATCAGCATCAGCCGGGAGTAGTTGTACTGCAATCCAGCTTATTTATACACCCTGTAGGTGTGCTTACACAGCTACAGGTTCTGTTGTGGGTGTCAACATGCCAGCTCAGCCTCCACAGCTAGCTGTTGCAGAGGACACACGTCTGCCCCACACTGTCTGTGACCAGGACGGGACTGTTCAAGTGAGGCAGAACCACATCTTTACAGTTCATTGGCCATGAAGTCTGCAGTGCCTGTTCCTCCTCCCGCCAAGACAAGTGCGCTGAGGCATGCATGACATATTGAACTAGTTGAGGAGGTCTTTTAGTACAATGTGAGCTGCAAGAAGAAACGTTGTGAATGACTTTTCATGTATGAGGATGAATTGAATATTAGGGGACATGGCTCAGTCGCTGTCGTACATGTGTTGCTCTCATGTGAAAGTGTATCGATAAAGTGCTTCATAGACTCAGGTAGCCCCTGAGGGAGAGTTGATAACAAAGTGCATGTTTGTCTGCATTACAGACAGGCTTGGATATCGACAGGACTCTGGCTCAGAGCCAGACTACGCAAGATCCTGTTACACACACAGACACATACAATTATACAGTCATTAGGCACAACATTAAATCCTCTTGCCTAACATTGCATAAGTCCACCTTTTGCCTACAAAACAGTTTTGACCCGTCGGGCCACGGACACAGGACCTGACTGGGGGTGTCCTGTGGTGTCTGGTACCGTTGACAGTTGATCCCTTGAGTCCTCTGGGTTCTTGCTCAACCCGTTCATACTCGATCAGATCGGGATCTGTCGAGTTTCAAGGCTGGGTCAAGGCCCTTGGCTGTTCATCTTTATAAATGTGTATTGTGGCGAGGTGTATCGTCCTGCTGGGGGAGACCGCTGGCACCGGGGAGTGTTGTTGCCACGGATGGGTGTGTGCTTGGTCTGCAACAATGTTTGGGTGGGTGGTACGTGTCGAAGTAATGTCCACTTGAATGCCAGGACCCAAAGATTCACAGCTGAATGCGTTGGAATGAGGTGGTTAGTGTTTTTTACTTCACCTGTCAGTGTTTTAAACGTTGTGGATGGAAGGTGTAGATGGATGGAGAAACAGCTTAACACAGTTTATATGCTCAGTCACACTCTGCCTTTCTCCAAAAGGAGAAATTTACTCTTGTTTTCACAGTGAGGTGAAGGGTCAGAGTTAGCTACAGAGCTGGAACACGGAGCTGGTAATGGAGCTTAAATACAGGTTTTTAAGTTAATGAATGATAGCACCTTTCTTCAGTCATTTCTTTTTTTCGTGCTCCTTTCTTTCCTTCTATTGTTGCATCCATACTTCTTTCCATCCTTCTTACTTCTTGTTTGTGCCTCTGTGAAATGTAATGTGTCACACAAATACATAAATATTCCACAGTAGTTAAAGAAAAACAACAATCTGAAATACCAGAACTCTTTACATATCTTGCTTTGTCTGACTGAAATATATTAAACTGACGAAGCAACATACTAGTGAAAAGCAGCTCCTCTGCACATTTGAAATTTAGCAAATGAACAGTTTCAGCTTTAAATGCATCGATATAATTTATTTTCTGTTCTTTTTTTACATAGATGAAACAGCCCTTTGTTCAGTTTGTCTACCTTGATTCATCTCATGCCCGGAAAACTCTGTCCTCCTCAAAAATCATCCAAAGTCATGTTGCAAGAGTTTATTTTTTGCTTTGAAACAACCATTAAATTCCACACACACTTGAAATCACCTTTAAACCCTCCAGGCTGTTTACTAAAACTTCCACCTGAAAAAACATCCATAAATTTAGTCAGAAACAGCTGCAAAACTTTAAGGTCAAACTGAACAATCTTAAAGGACACTTGGAAGGCAAACAAGTGTACTTATCCTCATCATCAGACCAGAGAAAGATTTTGAAAAACTCAAAATGTATATTGTACTACTGTCAGTAACTGCTTTATAACAGTGAGTCAGTAAACACTGATGTCACTGAATCTGTTTAAAAGGCTTTCAGCTGCATCTCTGCCAACAACAAATAACACATAACTAATGCTACAGCCATTGTAACCACAGCAGTGACCTTTTAAGTGACAATCTCTGAAAAATGCGACATAAATAAAACGCATACAGCCTGGTCCTTGTACAGAGACCTGCAGGGTGAAGGGGTCAGTGACATTTTGATCCAGAAAATGCTTTAAAAGGACCCTGGCCATTCCATAGCATCATAATTACAGACTTAAGTGGCTGTTTTATTAATGTCACAGGACACACAGCGCTACCACTAATTGTAGCTAGTAAAATTCACAGCCTCAGTCACATGGGAATGCAGCAGCTTTGTGCTGTGGAAGGAGATGCTTGATGAGTGTTAACATAGTCGTTGATGGACAAACTTCCACAGAACGAAAAGATTATCAGTGTTGTCTAATAGACCCAGTTCATGGCCTGAAGGATTAGGCTTAAAGCCAAGCTGGTATGTGAGGACGCATAAAGTCCCGACATTCGGGCTGCAGCTGACAACTATGTTCATTGCTGAAGTGCCTGTGAATATTTTATTGATTCATCAGTTAGTTTGGTGTTGAAAAATGGTGAAAAATGTCAATCAGTGTTTCCCAAAGTTCAAGATAATGTCCTCTAATGTCTTGTTTTGTCCACAACCCAAAGATATTCAGTTAATTGTCATTAAGGAGCAAATAAAAACCAGAAAATGTTCAAATTTAAGAAGCTGGATTCAGACCATTTTGACTGTTTTAGAAGTCAGTTGATGAATCGATAATCCCATCAGTTGATGTTTAATAGTTATTCTTGTTGCAGCTTGACTACATGTTGGCGGACTCGTTAACTTTTCCTCCTTTTTTGGGTTTAATGTTGATTCTGTAGCATTCAAGTTAAATAGTGAGCCAGAAGTTTTCATTCAGTTACTGATTGTTTTGTATGATTCAATAAGATGATCTCACCAGAATTTCATCCTCTAAATTTTCAATCAAGAAAGAGGAGACAGTTTGGGGAATAATTTCTCACTCTGAGTCAGCTGAGATTACGCACAAGGGACTGTAGCTGAGTATTACAAATATGATGTGCAGTGTACGCAGATATAACAAGTCTGTTGTTTTACATCAGTGGACGTTCGGCGCTAACCGCAGTGTTAGAGACGGGCCCATTACTTCTGCTGTGTTTGTCACCAGGATCCTCTTTGGGCCCGACTCTCTCCACGCTGCAGTAGCTGCGTGATGATGCACCACAGCGATGATGAACTCCACTATTCCCAGCGTTATCAGTCGGTGCTGGTGGGAAG